AAAACAATTTCATAAAAGCACTGACGGACAATATTTGAAGCAATTTCAAAATGATTCAGTAAACGACGATGAAGATATAATAGGAGGTATGACCTTACACACATATGTATATAAAAGTATAAATATGTGTACTTGCATGCGTACATATGTACGCTGCGTGTTACAGGATGTGTAAGTTTTCTTACCATATTCGCGCGCGCGCGTGTGTGTGTTGGATTAATCCGAAAATTTTCCTTTAGATTTTGCACATAGAATTTTGTCAAAAATTCGAAGGAAATTTCTGTTCAATTCAATAAATTAAATACAACATATATTAAACTAAAGTAGTGTAATCTTTCTCAGTAAGAAGAAAACGATTAGCTATGTTGGATCTTTTGATAGCGGCGTCCTATAATAATAAGATGAGTGATTTGGACATCAGAGAAGAAGTTGATACCTTCATGTTTGAGGTAAAAAAAAGGATAATCTGAAATTATTTACATATACAGTCCACCCTGGCATTAGGGTTAGTACATGTCTGTAGGGGTAAATAATTGACCAAAAACGTGTGTTCCCACTACTCCAGTATAAGTAAGAAAGGAGAATTGAGATTATACTCTTGCATTGGAGCCGGCTTAAATATTTATTCATACATCGATTTGGTTGTATCGTGACACATGTGTGAAATACACTTCCACATTCTCGTCATACGTATACATCTATAAGTAAAATCTAGTGAAACCTGACGTAGTTACAATGCAATTGTTGATTTATGCGAGAGTTCCCAAATATTTTTTTTATGATGACATGGTGGGAAAACAAAAAATTCAACAAAGACCGGCCCAGCCTCAATGCCAGATTTGACTGTATTAAATAATAATATAACAAATATATGTGCAACAATAAATATCCAAAATACGTTATCAAATTACTTCAGATAAAAACAAATTATTTTATATAAGAATGCTCATTTATATATAACCTATTAAATAAAATAATTATTCCTACTTTAATTTTTGTACAAATGTGATAGAATAAACAATGATATTTTTTCGAATAATAAGTGTCAATAACATTGATATAAAATTGTTCATTTTTTGAAATATTTGTTTAATATAGACGCAATATATTCAAAAATTATATGAAAAGAAAGACTTTAAAAAATTAACAACATTAAAAATATTTTAATTTTCTTTTTATTTGGTAAGTCTTTTTATAAATGACGTCTGTCCATAACGCATAAAAATGAACAAAATAACTTCTTTGCATAACAGGGTCATGATACAGTAGCAGTGTCTACATGCTTCACAATATTATTATTGGCTGAGCATAAGACTATTCAGGTATATTATACATTAATTATATATTTTCAAACAGTAAATACTTTATTAACGGTATTAACCAAATATTTAATTAATATTGTTTGTATTTAACATTGTCAGTGTTTTCTGATAATATTTAAAAAGTAGTTAAGATTATTTGTGTAATAAATAAATATATGCAAAAGTATTCTCTGTTTTAATTTGTAATAAAATAGGATTGTTATGTATTTAAATATATCAAATTAAATATAAAATATATAATTAAATATAAAAGAATATATATTCTTTTTATATTATGTGTGTGTCGCATATATAATTTAATGACAAATGCAAATCAAATAAAACATGTGAAAATTTGTTAAATAATGTAGGATCGTGTTAGAAGAGAAGTTAATGCAGTGATGCTAGAAGAACAATGGAAAACTTACTATGACAGCATTAAACAATATGCCATACTTGGAAAGATGTTTGAAAGAATCGTTGAGACTGTATCCTAGCGTTCCTAACATAGTGCGAGTTGCGTCTGAAGATGTAAAGATACGTGAGTAATTAATAAAAAATATTTTTGATATCCTGGATGACCCACATAATTATGTACATTTGGAAAATGTTATTTCTTTACATCTCGGAAACTATGCAATCGATTTTAAAAGTATAAACTTTGAATTGTATGGGTCAGAATAATCTTTCAATTGGAATGGAAGTTAGTCTTCCAATCCTGGTTGCAGGGATGGGGGTAAACATTAAAATTTTAAATAGAAATTTTTAACTAGAATTACATTTCCAGATTCTATGAAAGAAAAGAAGTTTGTTATTGAAAACATTTTTTTGTCAGATAATTCTTTGAAAAAATATGACGGTTTAAAGTTTTGGTTCAAGTAACTACTTGAAACGCTTAGGAATAGTTATAATGAAATCAAAATCAACACTCCATTCTAACTTATTCAATTTATTAAATGTTAAAAATGTTCATTATGGACTTGTAAACATTTATTTTTTTGAATTAGTAAAGTATTTTTAATATTTAATAGCATTTCAAGAAGATTAGCGACGCATGCGCTAAGTGGTTCGATGACTCTCAAAATGCTATAAAATATTAAAAATACTTTAACTCGGATAAATAAATATTTACAAGTCTGTGGTGAACATTTTATACATTTAATAAATTGAATAAGTCATAGTAAAGTTTCGTGATTTTGATTTCGTGTGTTTATTCCTGATCGCTTTTAATATCTATGAGTCAAAATTTTTAAGTGTTATATTTTTTCGAAGAAATATCTCACAAAAATATTTTGGATAAAATTGAGATATTTTCTTTTATAGAATTTGAAAATGTAATTTTGTATAAGGATTTCCATGAAAAATTTTAATATTAATCCCTATCCCTGCAATCTTGGATTGGGAGATTAACTTCCATTTCAGTTTAAAGACCAGTCTCATTCAGTTCAAGATTAAACTTTGAAAATCAATTGCATCATTTCCGAGATTGAGCCGTAAAGAGTAATGTGGATCACCCTGTATATTTTTATAAATCTAATAAAAAAAGATATGCTCATATTGATAAATCAGCTAGTTTGTGTTCCATATTAACTTGTTTTCAACGAAAATATTATTTCAAGGAATTAGTAATTTATTGTATTGAATTGTGAAAAAAAAAACTTTTTTAAAAGAATAATTTATATAGAAATGTTTACTTGACAAACTAAACATCTCTTTTAATTATTCTAATAAATTGTACTTTGTTTCGCGATTTTTTCAGAATCATATATTGTGCCTTCAGGAACATCATTATATGTTCCCATTAAAACTATTCACAGACATCCCGATTTATGGCCAAATCCAGACGTTTTTGATCCAGATCGATTTTTACCAGAAAATTCTCAAAATCGTCATCCTTTTTCTTATTTACCTTTTAGCGCAGGACCAAGAAATTGTATAGGTAATATTTAAAGTATTAATTTCTTAATATGTAAATCATTTTTAATATTTTTATGGATATTTATAGGTCAGCGATTCGCCATGTTTGAATTAAAGGCTATAATAGCTCCTTTGCTGCATAACTTTTACTTGGAACCTGTTGATTATTTGAAAAATTTTCGATTCCGATTAGATTTAATAACTCGAGTTGTACATCCAATTCGTGTAAAATTTATTCCAATCGAAAATGCAGCCATTTAAAACTAATTAAAATTTTAAAAAGGTAAACAAATAATTTGTTACATCATTAAAAGAATTATTAACTCAGTTGTCATATGTGTTATAAACATTTGTGGTTATGGATAATATGAATATTTTATTATATATTTTATTTAGTACAATATGTTACTTGCTTCTTCACTTCAATTAGTGCTTGAAAACACTTCTTTATTTAATAAGACATATTTATTATAACGTACTTATTATAAATTTAAATCAATAATAAATGTATGGTTAATCCACGCTGAATGATATCTTTGTTTGTTTGAACCCAAATATAAAAAATTAGCGTGCTTCAACATTTGATGACGCACGTTAGAGCAATAATGAAAAGAGCGTAACTATAGTGTAAAAATTACTTTTGCGTATATTGTAAAAAGATGAAATAAATGTTATATTTTGATAGTTTTTTAATTTTATTATTTACTTTTGAGGAGTTCTGGGGTAAATAAACCGTAAGGTGTGTAGTTATTTTATAGATTGATGTCAGGATGTAGAGAACATACTTTATTACTCGGTAAGAATACACCGTAAAATACAATAAAAGGCGCAACGCATGTTTTTATTATTACTCTTTTCCGCGTTGTTCCCACTCAAAAAAATGATCTTGCAATAATAGCTAAAATTTTCTAGGTGTAAAAAATTAATTAAAACAGATAAATGATTAGCAACTGTTGTGATATTGCATATGTAATTACTCAATCAGTTTAGATGACAGAAACATAATATATATCTGTATTGTTTGTGAACTTTAAAAAGAAAGTTTTTCTAAAGCGCCTATCTATATTCTTATATAGATATATAGATCAATCACGTGTTAGATCATGCAATGAATAACATTTAGCAATGGTACCTAAATTTTTCAGAAGCTATTGCTAGAACATTACTGCTATAAATTCTATATGTGACAAACAATGTTTTCACAGATACGAAAAATAGCGATACATTCTTGTTGCGATATCTAGAAATCTAACTACATCAGCGAAATATTTTTTTGAGTGCCGTTGATTCGCGTTGAGCATGTCATCGAGTGATTGTCATTGAGATGATTGTGTTTGACAATTTGTACATCTGACACTGTTTAACAGCTTGTAACCTTTATTATTATACAAAGAGCGGAAGTGTTTTGAAGAAAATAAGAATGTAAATTATTATATCAAGAAAAAATGGCACGTGCATTGTACGCGCTTGTGTGGCTTAATATAAATAAAATTTTCATCATAAATAACTATAAACTATCGATGATAAAAACGTTTTACATAACAGATATATCTAAAGTGCACGTGTTATCTAAACGCATAAGAGGTTTTTTTATACTAATTGTAAATCGTTGTTCATGCCGTCATTGTAGAAATATGATAACAATGAATGTGCTACATCATTGCTGTCAGATATTTGCAACTTTCGGCCGGATTTCTCGATGCACGCCTACTGCTCCCCCCAAAGTTGCAAATAGCTGACTGCACTGTGCTATATAAAACTGCTGTGATGATATGATGCAGATCGAAGTCATTTGATTGAGCGTCAAGAAATTTTCATCTGGCGTTCAAAGATTTACAAGATTTTGTTTTATAAATAAAGCATAATATTTTAAGTGGAAATTTCTACAAACGTGTTTAGAATATATTTTGTGATCCTCTTTGAACGATGTCTATTCAGATTCAGGAAAAGACACTTGATTGCATTTGACGACAAGCGTCTTGTTTAAAGCGATAAATAGGTGAGTGTATCTTCAAATGTATCTTTTAATGTATTTCGGAAGTGTATCTTCTAACAGAATTTATTGTGACTTTGGAAAGAAATATTGAAATGTTTGAAAGGTATATTTTATCTGATTGAAATAAATATCATTTTTTGACAGTATTTCTATCGTTTATTTATGTACCAAAATTAATCTGAGAAATAAAAAAGTTAATCAATATTTTTTTTAATAACTTGAAATATTTTGTTTAATATCATAAATTACACGGTAATATTATTTTATGTAGAGATGTTTATGAATAAATAAATATAACTAGTTTTTAAATAACTCTTTATGCAGTTTTCATAAAGCTTTTTACATTGATAATTTATTAAAATGATAACTCACGGCATAATATGGTTATTACAGGTACTTATTTCTTGTGCGTACTGATATTCAAGAATCAATAAAAGAAATAAAAGAAAATTTAAGAAGAGTTTATTCACTTAACAGATAACTATGATCATCACTTTATTGATATTATGCTTTGTTCTTTTATTACTGTACGATTATTTTCAACGTTATGGAAAATTCGGACAATATATCAATCGAATACCTGGAAACACATCACTTCCAATAATCGGCAATGGTTTGGAGATATTTGCTCGTCCGTTAGGCAAGTAAAATTTTGATAATTTTTAAGTTATTAAGTAGTATTTGATTGCTTTATAAAAAATATTTATAAAATATATATATTGACGATATAAGAAAATAAATGGCGTTGACAATGTAACTATATAATTTTTTTCTCATACTTACATTTGAAATAATGATACACATAATAATGACGCAAAAATCGGGGTGATTCTATCATTATCTCTCAATCTTGTATCAATCTTACTAAAAATGCAAATAGTAAAAAATATTTTTCTTGGTTATTTAATAGACGACAAATACATAAAAATAATTGCTTATATTGATAAGAATTACGAAACAAAATTTGTTAATTCTTTTATATAAATTAAAAATTTCAGTGTGCATCAGGAAGTATTACGATAAATTATCGAACACATATTATCCTATTTTTAAGTTTTGGCTTTTTCATTTGGCATTTATCGGCATTCGTCACCCAGACGATGTAGAGGTAAAAGGAATATTACAAAACAAGTAGAACTTTATTATAATATCAAAATTTTATTAATAACGCTGATAATTACAGTTTTTATTTAAAATTGGATATGTATTTTTAAGCCAATGAGAGTTTATTAAACGTAACTTTTTAGGTGCAACTGTGTAATGTAGTAGCCGAATAATTGCAGAATAATTTCTATTATTCTATTATTACACATTACATTTCACTTTTTTAGCGCTCTATGTTTAACACAAATATCAGTAAGTATTTAACTTTATCAGTATATCAGTGTAGAATCTTGTCTATGATTGTAGATAATATTAAGCAACTCAAAACAGCATCTACAGAAAGGATTTCTATACACGTTTTTGTATCCTTGGTTGAGAACTGGTCTACTTACTAGCGAAGGTAACGCAATAATTCTAACACAATTTTAAATTGCAATATTATATATGTATATATATAGGATTGATCAGAAAGGTTCTTCGGATTTTTGTATTTATTTTTATCAACAAATAAAGAAACAGAGAAATGTATTTTCAGACAAAATTAATTGTCATTATTTTTAACTTATATTGCATATTACATATCGTATATAATATAAAAAAAATGTAATTTTTTAATTATATTATTATAATTAATTTTTATAATTAATTAAATTATTTATCACAGATAAATCGGAATAACATAATCTATAAGTAATACAAAGACAAATATTAGTGCATTAAACTATTGCAATAAAAAGCTAAATGTGTTATTTTATTTCTGTGTAGGAGCAAAGTGGCATAAAAGGCGAAAGATACTAACTCCAGCATTTCATTTCAATATGTTAAAGCAATTTGTTGATGTTTTCATTGAGGAAGGCAATTATATGACGCAATGTTTGAAGGGCAACGAAGAATTGATTGTTAACGATTTAATCTCTTTTGTTAGTCAACATACATTGAATGCAATATGTGGTACGCTAGTATATATTTGCAAAGAAATTTTTCTCCACAAGAATTTTCAATTAATTAAACATAGATTATAATTACAATAAATTTTATTAATTATTATTTTTGGACACTCGTAAATTTTTATATTTTTTAAAGAAAAATGTGTTTAGTTATTAAATTTAATTAGAAGATTGCTTAGAAATATACATAATGTAATGTATAACAATATCAAAAGATTATCTTAAACTATGTAATAATAATTAATTAATATATTAAATAAAATAATTGAACAAATATTTATATAACTTTAGCAAATAATTTATAGAAACTGCCATGGGAACTTCTTTGAAGAATGTGGGTGAATTCCAACAACAATATCGTGAAGCAGTCCATGAGATGGGTAAATTTATTTCAAAGAGGTAATGTGTGTAAAACACAAGTGTAGATATACGTCAAGATTGAGATATAAAAACACTTTTGAAAATGAAAAAAAAATATGATGTTTCGACAATTGATATTTAATAAAAATATTTTAGCATAAATTATATAATTATACAATTTTAATTTAAAATATAAAATAACTATTTTTTTGTTCATTTCATGTGTTTCATGTTACATAATTATGTATATAGAGTGTTGAGACCGTGGTATTATCCTGATATGATATTTTCTTTCTCGTCAATGGGTAGAATGCAAGCTAAGTGTTTAAAAATATTGCACGGTTTTACCGAAAAAGTAAGTAAAAATCGCATTATTAAAATTTGGTACAGACTTTTTCTTTAAATAAAATTTTAGTAATAAGTATGTAAAATATATAAATAAAATTATAATATTGAATTTGTATGTTGGCAGTACATAGTAGTACAGTAAGTAAAAGATGAGCTGATCTAAATTCTTTTCTTGCAGATTATTGCTGAAAGAAAACAATATCATGAAAGTACGAATAGGCGATATTTGAAACAATTTGAAAATGATTCAATAAACAATGACGAAGAAGTAATAGGAAGTATGTATATACATATAACACACACACACAAACACACACACACACACACACACACACACACACACACAACAAATAAAAAATATCTATATTGTCGTAAATACATGCATATACCCGAGAAAAAAATGGTATAATATGGTGAGATATAAATATATATAATTAGTTATGAAAAGATCCGACAACATGTAATATTTTATATGATCATATAAAATTACATATGCTATCATTTATATGTTATCATTATACCATTTTTTCTCGAGTATGTTTTATATGTCTCAGATCGGAAAAAACGATTAGCAATGTTGGACCTTCTCATAGCGGCACACTACAATAACGAGTTAAATGATTTGGACATCAGAGAAGAAGTTGATACTTTTATGTTTGAGGTAAAAATCTGTATTTTATTGGCACTTTTTATTTAAAAAATTTGTGTTATAGAAAATTATCGGAATACTTCATATTTACACATTTTATCATTACTTCTTTAAAAATAATTTTTAATTTACATATAACAATATTTTAATTTGCCTTTTATTCGTTGAGTCCATCTATATTTCTACATAATTCGTACGTAAGACAGAAATAAATAAAATTAATTTTTTTCTATTATAGGGTCACGATACTGTAGCAATGGGTATGACCTTCGCCATATTGTTATTAGCTGAGCATAAAGATATACAAGTATATTTTATATAAATTGTTAATTTAAACAGTAAACACATAAATTTTATTAATTAAACTTAATGATGTAAATTTAATCTTCTTTGCGTTTCTTGTAAATAATATTCAAACAAATAGAGAAATACCACTTAAAAAAATATATACAAAAGTAATTTGCTATTATAATGAAATAAGATTATTTTTTATATAAAAAAGCATACATTCTATATTGTGTGTTTATTTGATTTACTTAACTACAATACGCGAATGCAAAGCAAATAGAACAGTCAAAAATCTGTTCAATAACGCAGGATCGTGTCAGGAGTGAAGTCAATGCAGTAATGAAAGAAAATGATGGAAAACTTACTATGTCAGCATTAAACAATATGCCCTATTTGGAAAGATGTTTGAAAGAATCGTTGAGATTATATCCTAGTGTTCCTATAATAACGCGAGTTATATCAGAAGATGTAAAGTTACGTGAGTAATTAATTTTTTATTATACAAATTAATATTTGTGTAATTATATTTAATACATATATTTTTATTTTTAATTATAAATAAAAACGTTATTATACATAACATTTAATCTAATTGCTTGATGTTTTAACATTAACTTGTAATAAATTCTTTTTGTAAGAGATTTTTGACATTTTGTGGTTGGCTACATAATATTCTGAGTACTAATATTGCAAGAATAAATTTTGTAAATTTAGTATTTTCATAATAAGCGTTTTTTGTGTAACAAATGTATTAATTGACAAAATTAGTGACTTACTTACTGTATGAAAAAACTCATGTTTAAAGATAATTGATAAATAAATATCTATCTTGTAATTAAAAAAATTTATTATTATTCCAATTAATTACATGCTTTGTTCTATGGTATTTTCAGAATCATATATGGTGCCTTCTGGAGCAATATTACATATCTCTATAAAAAATGTTCAAAGAGATCCTAATTTTTGGCCAAACCCAGACGTTTTTGATCCAGATAGATTTTTACCAGAAAATTGTCAAAATCGTCATCCTTTTTCTTATATACCTTTTAGCGCAGGATCACGCAATTGTATAGGTAATGTATAAAATATAAATTTCTTGGTATATAAACAATTTCTAATGTTTTTATAAATAATAGGTCAACGATTTGCCATGTTCGAATTGAAGGCTTTGATAGCCCCATTGGTCCACAACTTTTATTTCGAACCCATCGATTATTTGAAAGATCTCCAACTCCCGATGGATATAATACTAAGAGTTGAACATCCGATTCGGTTAAAATTTATTCCAATCAAATACATATAGCTATTCGCACAACATATATAATTTTATCTATGTTTTTATAATTTTATCTATGTTTGTATTAGTTAGTTAATATTAAGCAAGACAATACCGTGTGTTCTTTTTTCTTATTTAGGGATTAACTCTGGCAAAGTCGATTTTCTATTAAGATATCGCCAGAACGCTGCCATTTATTTTTCAATTTTGTATTTTTTTGATTTTTAATGAACTGCTCATTTTCGTAAAATTACCTTTGATTCTTACAGAGAGGTTATATAAAAATTTTTCCTTGACATGGACATTTAATCATAGATTAAATATAGATTAATTATAAATTATAATTATCACATAATTTTTATTAGTGATACTTCATTTTTAAATATTAATTGTATTTCTTTATCTTTTAATAAAATATATTAGATTATAATGTAATTTTAAGTCTTTCAAAGCACATCAAATTTGTAGTGTAAAGTACACACTAAAACAAAATTGCATCAATTTGTTTATATATTTGTCTAAATATGGAAAATTTTATAATGTGTGTGTTGAAAGTTTTCTCTTTGTTTTTGTATCGCAGTATTGACTTTAATTTTGACACGATCCTGTTCCATCAATTAATTAAAACTTTATATTTTACTATTAATATGTTTTTATATATCTAATCCAAAGATTTATCCAAATCAAACGCACACAACTGTTACAAATAAAAAGTAACTCTACAATGCGAAAAGCGAACATATTCAAATAATGAAAAAGATTGTTAATTAAATTCTTGTATATATGTAGGTTAAATTATTGTATATGTTATGTGTCAGCAAGGATAGAATATATCCACACTGTGATTCCGCATATAAAAATTTAGTTTATTGATTCACGTTCTGAGATAATACAGTTTTGTGGTTTTTTACACACACTAATATTTGCGACGACGCTTAGGGGCCTTCTAAACG